CGCGTTAAACGGCACGCCGAAGGACAGCGGCTGTCGAACGGAGAGGGTGCGAGGGTGTGGAGGAGGGTTTAGGAAAAATCACTCGGCGGGAAAATACGAAACGCGGAAGTGGTTGGGAGGGAGAAATCGGCGACGAGGAGGATCGTAAATACGTCCGCGAATCGACTAGGACAAAGGCATTTCCTTCGAGTATATACTCGAGGAGCGTTGAAGTATTCGCAAAGGGAGCTGCAACGACGACGGAGCTTTTTCCGTGGAAACCGTCGAGAGGTCCATCCCGAGGTAACTCGGGGAAGAATCTCGAGTCGGAAATCCCTTTTCGCCTGCGCGTCTCGGACGACACGGGTCTCGCCGCGATTCTCCGGGTCGGTTAAGCAACGACGACCGCTTTTGTTCCGCGTCGCGATGGTGTATTCGAGCGGGTGGCGCCGAAAAATCGGTTCGCGCGTGGAGATTATCGGTGGCGAAAGTCTGGGGTGAAACGCGTTCGTTTGTCCGCGATGTTTGCGCTATCCCGGCACCGAACGAAAATCCTCGAGGACGGATTCCAATTAAACGCGCATCGAGTATAAAAAAAAAAGAGGACGGGACGATGACCGCGATCCAACGAAATAATAGTTGCTCTCGATCCGACTCGATCAATGGACAACTCTTCTCGCACGGATTTCGAAGACAATGGACCGGACAAATGGAAAAGTACCGGTTTTCGTGGAAACTCTCGGCGCGCGGGGCTCGGCCGGCTACGGTCGCGGCAGCCAATTAATTTCACCTGCCTCGAATCGAATACCTTTTGTTTCGAACGCGAGCGACGCATTGTCGCGGATTAGTGGCGCCTAGATTCCGTTCGAATCCGTTCGATTCCGTTCGGAACGCTTGACCGCGTTCTCTCCCAGCCCGTTGCGGTTCGGAAGTCGTTCGCTCGGACTTTAGGCTCCGAATCGAGCTTGTCTCGCTAATTAATCGGTGCGCCGCGATCGAGCTCGAACGCGGGACCATTCGAACGCGCGAGGTGGGGGGAAAGGAAGCACAACCAGATGTTCGTTTATTCCAGTTTTATTATAAAATATAATAATACGTAACATTTACGCCATATCGAATATTCACGTACTGTATGTATATGTATAGTATGTACAACGAGTAAAGTGATACGCGAGCGTGGTTCGCGGAGGAAAGGAATTCGTCGCTGGAGACACAGGCTGACCCCCGCAGCGTAATTCGCGACGCTTCGACGAGGTTCCAACGGAAGTTGGGGGTACGTACGCTGCAATCGGCCGAATCTCTCGATCGCCGAGCGGAAAATTCATCGCCGCGATCGTTACACGGCGCGTCGTCGCATCCGCTCGCGATCACGCCTCCTTCCTTTCTGCCCGTGCTCTTTTCGCGTCTCGGGAAAGACTGGCAATTTACATGCAAATAAGGAGCAAAGGGTCCGGGGGAACGGTTACAAATCCGTCGACGATCGAGTTACCGTTTACCCGGCCCATCAAAGAGAGACACGAGTTTACGAAAACGATCGTCTACGAACGGAGTCGATCGTGATTTCAACCGTGCTCTCTTTCCTTTGCCCTCTTTACAGCCCCTAGCTCGAGGTTTCGCAATCGCGAGAAACTTGCTCGTTTTTCCCTTCGATCGCGCCCCCCCCCCCCCCCCCCCCCCCCCCCCCCCCCCCCCCCCCCCCCCCCCTTCCCCCCCCCCCCCCCCCCGACCGCTTAATCCCGCCGTCCTCGCCACTCCCTCGCGCGCGCGCGAGTGTACGCCGTGCCAAGTGAATCCCGAGCCGGGGCAGAATCGCTTTAATTATTTCGAGGATCGTCGAAGCGCTATCGCGAGAATCCGCGGCTCCGCGCAGCGTCTAATTCGCAAGCCGAAAGGGGATAGGGGCGAGGTTCGAACGCTGGCAACGCGATGGGAATTACCCGATACTCGGAGAGATAGAGAGAAAGGCAGTGGAAACGGGAGGGATTTGGGTGGATGTTTGGCGGGGGTGGAAGACGGTGGCGAAAAAGGCGCGGGTTTCGGAAAGAGCGGAAAGTCAGGCTGCACGGTTCGGATGGTCGATTTAATTGCGAGCACCGGGGAGGAAGAGAGGGCGAAAGCTCGGCGAACAGTCGGCTCGGGTGGTGGAGAAGCGAGGCGAACGCGAGCCGACTCCATAACGCGAACAAAGGAAAATTTAATCCGTGCGCCGAGGGAAACTATTTCGAAATTGCGTTTAGCCGGCACGCGGTGTACGTGTATCCCTGAGAGGATGGCTCGGCCGTGTCTGGTTCGCGTTACGCGTGACGCGGCGCGGATAAACGAGGTCGCGTGATATCCGGCAGAAATTCGGAATATCGAAGCGTCGGTGTTCGCCTGGCGCGTCGCGGTTCTGCTCTCGAGGCGTGGAGGAAAAACCGAGTCGGAGGAAAGGTAGACCGCGCGGGAGATCTCGCAACAGGTCGCCGAGATCGCGGAGAGAATCGGATGGCGCTCGCGACAATCGCGGATCGGTAGGTCGCGCCGCGTATTCCGGCAGCCTCTGGGCGGGCAAACTCCCGAACGAACGAGTTTTCCAACTTTTGTTTCATCCGACTTTCGTCGATAACTCGCCCCGGGATATCCGGGCTCCGGCTACTTTCGTCCCTTCCCTCGTTTCCCTGCGCTTCGATGCACGTCGCGGTGCACACGTCGCGAGTATCGGCCCCCCGTTCTCCCCCCTTCGCTTTCCGTTCGCGTGCGCGTCGTCGCATCGGGCACGGGACGTTCGATGGAAAAGTCAATGGAAACGTCGGCGTACACCGGTGACCCGCGACGCATCGGCCCGGAACGAAACTCGCCGCGGCGCTCCTTTCCCCCTTAATGGAACCACCCGCGAGGGTCTATGTAAACGCCCATTCGTACACCTCTCGCTTCCGCTCGCGAGTCGCGATCGCGTATCGAACGTGTCCGCCTCGTTCGCCTCGCGGCTCCGAGACGCGCGCCACGGTCACGGGGTTCGCGGGAAGAAAAATAGGGAGAAGAGGGAACGAAGCCGAAGACACAGAGGCTAGAGGGCAAGTCTGGATTTACGAGGCAAGTTTGTCTCGGACAGCTCGAGCGAAGGCCGTTGGATCGATCCTTCTGGATCGTTTCCGATCTGGATCGAGAGGGCAAGGCGGGGCGTCGGTTGGTGGAAGTACGGCGAGGGAAGCGTTAAAAACGGGAAGCCGAGGGTAATAATTTTCACGGAGAATCGGCGTAACGGGCGAGGACACGTTCGAACGCGTGTTTCCTCGGAGTCGCGGAGGACAGAGGCTGAGGGTGAAAAGAGAGGCAGAAGATGTACCTGGAGGCGGACCTCGTTCGATCGTTTCGCCGGCCGCGAGACTCCGAGGCGAGGACGGTAAATCCGAACGAGGATGGCTGGGACGTTCCCGCGCGGAAAAGTTTGCCCGCGCGAGCGAGGGAAGCGAACGGAAACGCGCGATTGATTCCTCGGGCGATACCGGCGAACGCGGGGAACCGCGCAAGTTTTGACGTTTTAAATTTAAGTTGGAATCACCGCGCTGTACCGTCTGGCTCGATTACCATTTAAATTACCGTTCGTTTAAACCGCCCCCCCGACTTGCCGCGGCGGTACGTTGCCGAGGAAATACGAAATCGTTAGACTTTGCGTAACAACTTTGCGCGCTTCCTCGACCGTAGCGGAAACAATCTTCTCGATGCGATTTTAACGAGGATTCGCGGTCGCGAGACGATCGCGGGACGATCGAGCGAGGAAGTAGAGGAGAGAGCAACGAGAGTTTCCGGGAAAATTCGCGTGGGAATTTAAACGTAGGCCTGGTTCGCGTCGCAATTAGTCCACGCCTGTCGTTAACGAGGCCAAGGAGTGGAAGAGGGAAAAGCACGGCCGGGCGAGCCTCGGTTTTACGGTTACATTTTCCGTCTGGCGGTGCACTCGAGGCGGCGTGGTCGAAAATTTCGCGTGGCGTTCGCACAAAGCGAAAGAGAGAAAAAGGAGCGAGCGAGGATGGGGCGGACGAGGTTGGAGGGGGGATGAAAAGCGGCAGAAACAGGGGCCGCGGCTTTTAGCGATTTTATGACATTTTCAAAGGCGGCGTTGTTTTTGCCGTGGTCGGAAAATCGCGTAACACGCGATCTTCCATCGAGCTCTCTCTCTCTCTCTCTCTACCCTCCTCTCTTTTCCGTTCGTGGCACCACGGCGCGTTTCTTTTTCCTCCGTGCGATTTACGCCGTGTCGCTAGCGGCGAATTTGCCTGGAAACGCAGAGGACGCGTGGTATCGAGGGTCGATCTTGATCGGAACGATCGCGCGCCGATTCGTCTGGACGCGTGGACGAATCCGACGTTCCGCGTTACCGGCTCGAATTTGAACGACGCGATGCGTGCAACCGGAACGAGAGAGACGATCCTCTCGGCGGAATCGCGGACGCCGCGAATTTCGCGCGAACAATGCGCCAACAACGTTCTTCGCGGTATGCCGCGTTCGCGCGGCACCGCTCTCCTGCTCTTTCTCTCTTTCTCTCTTTTTCCTCTCTTCCTCGGTTTTTTTTTTGCGCGCGTAATTTTAATTGCGACCCGACCGCGGTTCGACGAGCGCCTTCTATGCAAATTAGGAAAGGGGTCGATGGCGCGTCGCGATTCGTTCTTTTCATCGGGCCCAGGCTGATTCGAGCTACCCGACTCGCGGTACCTAACCCCTTTGTCGCCGCTGGGCTAACGAGCTCGGCTCTGAATTTCGAGAGCGTATCGGCCGACGTTCGACCTTGCGAATTTTCCATCGCGCCGCCTCTTCCGCGATCGTTCGCCTCGAAGCGAGGCGAAGTTTATCGCCTTCGGAACGGTGTCGCGCGCGAACAAAGACGCGCGAGCAGAAGCGAGCGGGGGCGCGCGGCGATCGTCCGTGTCCCTGCAGCCACTGTTTACCACGGGGACGAACTCGGCGACGAGGCGACCGAGGGGAATGTCTCGAA